CTAGTGGGTGGGGGGCCTTGCTCACTGCTCTCCCCCAGATTACCAGTCTCTGCGCATTGGGGGCCTCATCTTTGCCGTCATCCTCTTCCTGCTGGGCATCCTCATCATCTTCAGTGAGTGCCCCCCCAACCACCCCGACGGGGCACCCCTGGGACTCAGGCGTCTGGGACTCGCCCCTCTTCCCCCTCCCCACAACGCCCTGGCACCTGGCATTGCCAGAGCTGGGGCGAACCCAGGTGGCCGGGTCCCAGCCCCCTCCCCGCGGCTACCACCCCGCACTCCCTCGCCCGAGACCCCAGGCGTCCCCCCCAGCTCCAGGGTTTCTTCTCCCTTCCCAGGTCGTCGCTGTCGCTGCAAGTTTAACCAACAACAGAGGTGAGGAGGGGCCGCGGGTCGGGAGTGGGGGGCGCCGGGGGCCGGGAGGCCGCGGGTCGGGAGTGGGGGGCGCCGGGGGCCGGGAGGCCGCGGGTCGGGAGTGGGGGGCGCCGGGGGCCGGGAGGCCGCGGGTCGGGAGTGGGGGGCGCCGGGGGCCGGGAGGCCGCGGGTCGGGAGTGGGGGGCGCCGGGGGCCGGGAGGCCGCGGGTCGGGAGTGGGGGGCGCCGGGGGCCGGGAGGCCGCGGGTCGGGAGGGAGGGGCACTGGGATGTGGGGGCACCAAGAAGGGCGAGGGCTGTGGTCCGGAGTTAGGGGCACCAAGGGGAGCCCCCACTGAGTCCCTGAACACCCCAGGACGGGGGAGCCTGACGAGGAGGCGGGGACCCTGCGCAGCTCTATTCGCCGTAAGTCGGGCTCTGGCGGGGGGCGGGGTGTGCCCCCCTGAGGCAGGGGCTGGGCCGGACTCCTCGGTTCCTCCCTCCTGACCTTGCCCTTCCTTGTCCCCGCAGGCCTGTCCACTCGGATGAGATGAGTGGGGCAGGTGAGTGATTGGGGGGCGGACCTGGACGCCTGGTTTCTGAGCTGGGAGCCCAGGGGGAGGAGTGGGGTGAGAGCAGGGGGCTGGGGGGGGTCTCTCTGTCTA